ATTTTAAATATAATAATTTTTAATAAATTATTTAAATAAATTTAATTTTGAATTGTTCTTTTTATATTATATAAATAAAGTTTTTTAGTGGACATTTTTAATAAATTTTTTTTGATAAATTAACATGTTTTTTAGGTTTACAGATTTTTTTGATTTATATAGATATTTTGTTTAATGTATATAAATTTTAATAATTACTAAAATTTTTTAAATAATTTTTATATTGATAAATTTTAGTGACTTTAAAATTTTTTAAATATTTTGAACTATGAATATTTTTATCTATACATAAATTAAAAAAATAATCTTATACAATCTTACATATTACTTAATTAAATATAAAATAAATTTTATATCCGATTCAAAGAACTACCAAACATGCACCTGGGCCTAGAGGCCCACTAGCATTAGCCAACTTGTTAGGTGCATTCCCCCATCCCCTGGGCGGGTTTTGAACCCGCCTCATGTCAAAATGTTAAAAAAAAAGAAAAAAAAAAACTACCAAACATGAGATTAGATTTGATTATGTTATCCACTCCAATCTCACCCTATTAATTATATCCAATCCAATCCCATCTGCACTCCAAACATGTTGTAAAGCAAAACAACAAAAATATATGGATCATTTTTTCACCTTTCTCACACCTTTCTCACAAAATCCCTTTCCCCTTTTATTTACACATTAATTAACGTCCCAACTCCCGAACCCACACTCCTTTGTATCATTTCTACTTCGTGCACCGCACTTTCCTGCACTTCTTCCATTAAGCTCCAAATATAAAACCACAAACCTTTCAAAATCTGTTCTCAGTCCGTTCCTCCGATCCGAGAGAGAACCCCAATTTCCCCAATTCTTGCATTTCCTTCAACCGCGATGCCGGAGCTCGCCGAGAGTTTCGCCTGCGTTCCCTCCACAGAGCGTGGCAGAGGTATCCTAATCTCCGGCGATCCCAAGTCCAATTCCATTCTCTACACCAATGGCCGATCAGTAGTGATCATGAACCTCAATAACCCTCTCAACGTCTCCGTCTACGGCGAGCATGCGTATCCGGCCACCGTGGCTCGCTTCTCACCCAACGGTGAGTGGATCGCCTCTGCTGATGCCTCGGGCACGGTTCGGATCTGGGGGGCACGCAATGAACACGTCTTGAAGAAGGAGTTTAAGGTTTTGTCGGGTAGGATTGATGATCTCCAGTGGTCGCCGGATGGGATGCGGATCGTGGCATCTGGAGAAGGGAAGGGGAAGTCTTTAGTTCGCGCTTTCATGTGAGTGTTTTGAATTTGGGTTTTGGATTCTTTTTAATTCTTATCTTAGTTTTTCATTCCTTCATGGTGATGTTTGGTAGCTACAGAACAGTGGATCATCGTATCAATTCTTGTGCTTTAACTGTTCAGGAGTTAACTAGTTAAGTGAAGTAGGAACTCTGAACTAACCTGTATGATTTGTAAACTCGCTAGTTGTGCTAGTCTAAAGTTAATTAGGAATTCAATTCAGGAGTTAATTAACTCAATTTCTGAGTCAAGATTTCAAGTCTAATTTAGTAGTTGAATGGAGGATAATTACAGTAAATGAAGCCACACAACTAGAGAAATCAGTATATTATTAGTTAGCGTGTTGTCCATGTTTCTTGCTTGATGGGATTTTTTTTAATGTTTAATGCATACTTTTTGGCTGCTGACTGGATCTACTTTTGTTCAAACTGATACTAGAATGTCTGTTTTTCCTTCATGTATTTTTCTTGAATTGTGTTTATGTCAATGACCGACCTTTGTGCATGTCATGGCGGTAAAATATGGCAATATTGAACAAGAATTAAAAATAGTATTTATTAAGAGAAGCAAAAGAACTGGCCAAAAAAAAGAAAAAAAAGAGGAGAGTTAAAGCAGCAAATGTGGAGATGAAGAAAAAATTATAACTATAAATGAAGTAGAGAAGAGGATGTAATGGATTTAAATCAGTAAATTTGTTTATCTATTAGTTTTGTGATGTGTTTATGGGTTATTACCTGTTGATGTGATATGTAGAATCTTAGGTCGTGAGATTGGTTCCATTTCTCCACTTTGGGTCCATTAAAAGTTTAAGCTAATATTTCTTTAGCACTATGTGAATTTGACCATGAATCTATGATCTCATAACAGTAACTGCTCAATATAAAAGCTTAAGCTAATAAGCAGTAGGTTGGCTAATTTATATATATTTTAAAAAAATTTTCCCCATTTCACCATTAGAAATTAGATTGCCCCTCCAACTTTTACTATATGACTCCTTAAGCTTCATTGTCAAAAGTCAAAACTCAAGATTTTTTGGAGAGAAAGAAAAAAAAAAAAAAAAAGGTTGCAGCAAATGAACACATTTCCTTTGCAATGGAAAACGGGTCTCTGAGCAGAAAGAAGCTTCTATTCATAATCTTAATCTCTATTGACTTTACCTTTTTTCCACTATTATAATTAAATAAGTGGTGTTTATTATTTTGTATAGGTGGGATTCAGGCACTAATGTGGGGGAGTTTGA